TAAATGCTAATGCCCAAGCATGGCCAGTATTTGCATATAGGGGTTTAATTGAGCTAAGTTAATTGATCCCAAAGTTGGATTGCATCGAGCTCCTAAAGTTGGGCTAAAGTTTGATTAATAAGATTTTTAACCTACGCGAGGTCAACCTCACTAATCTCGAATACAAGTCAAGGTTGATGGAGTCTGAGTTCAAGCCCAATCGAGCTCAAGTAGTATGGATTATTAACTTTTAGATTGGCATCAAAATAATAAAACTAGCTCAACTCAAATGCCCCTCACACTTGATTCAAGCATGACTTGAGCTTTGTCAATGCTAAGTCAAGTTGAGCTGCTGACAAAACTGCTTGCGCGTTGTTTGTGAGCAAGTTGGTTCGACTGTCCCCATTTTGGACATGGGTAGGTTTATTAGGGTTTTATTGTTTAGCAGTTATTAGCGTTCAAGATGCTATTTTATTATGTCTACTGGAGTAGTAGCATTTAAGACACAGTTGAAAATTTTAACTTATTTTCACCTTCATAAACTCTTTTAGTCCATGTATGGTTGCTTTAGACTAAGCTGTGTAGGTTTTTAACATTATCTTGGTTTCAAATCTTGTCGGAACTGTTTGTAGCTGATAATCTGTAAACACATTTATATTCTTTGAAGCAGCTATCCTTTCCTTGTTGCTTCTGGTCGTTTTTTGAAGGCAAATGTTGCTAGGGAAATTAGTAATTAACAATGTACTGCCTGGATAATTGAAGATTGATTGAACTGAATGAAGTATATGTTGCTTTTTGCTTGTAGCTTTTAAGCCCGTTGAGTAGTGTCTTATCATAGTTGCACTAGCAGTTTTGTATCCAAGAAGCAGACTTCCGTTCATATGGATGTTGCAGCCAATTAGAAGTTCTATTTCCATTGATGAATCTTCTTTTGATCTCTTACCTTTTGTTAAAACAGATACCTCATGTGTGCTCTTAGGTTTTCCTGTAATGCTTAAATGAACTACTCCTCAACTATGTCAATGCCGTTCCTCGTTTTAATCCTAGAGGCCTTGTTCTATCCACAAACATTCCTGAATCTCCAAAGGGCAGCGCAATACCTTTTTCTTAAAAATTGTTTGGAGACTGGACAAGCATTTTTGTTTTTCTTGATTTACTGTGCCATTGGTTTTGGGTTTCTAGGGTATTTACACAATGAAATTTGTATCAATTTGGGTCTATATGGTCCAGATATTTATCATAATTCATGAAATCCTTGATTAAGGGTTTATTCTTGTATCATGTAATTGAAGATGCTCTGACACTTTGATGGTTGGAGTCCTTAAATATTCCTTTGCATAAGAGTTATCTTCTTACCATGCATTAGGTTTGTAATGTTGATAATATCAGTCAGAGTACTTGTAAGGTTTTGCAGATGTAACCAACCATGCTTGTTTCTGTGACTTAGTATCTCTTGGATATTTTGTGCTCCTTTGCTAATGTTACGACCTATATAAGTTGTGATCACTTGATATACAATGTCCTTCTGTGTGAATTCTGTTCTGTGTGTCTCAGTATCCAAAATGTTGGTCAAATGATTCCTTTAGATGCTTATCTCTTTGTTCATGAGATTTGATCAGCCTGCATATGACTAGGTAGGTGTACATACTGCTGATAAATTAGATATGGGTTAGCCGATTTTTTGGAGTTGCAACATTGGTGGTATGGGGGTTCCCTGGTTCATTCTACTTTGTGATTAGCTCCTAAGGTTGTCTTGCACAAATCTGAAAATGTGCTATGGTATTTTGGAATCTATGATATAGTATGGTGCAGATTGTTTACCTTCTTGGAGTATAGCAGTTCATTTGGTGGATCTCTCTTTTGGATCACTCTGTAACTGGTCCTTTTTTCATGCTTGATGAGCTTTTATTTTATTTTTTCTTTCAAGTCTATGCCTTTTGGATATGCAGCAATTGTTGCAGTTTATAAAGTCATCCATTGGATGTCTTGGACTTGCCAATTAGCAAGGACATAATTTCTATTGCTAAGTGGTATCAGGTTTGTTTAGTGCAGTTCATGTGAATATATAGACCTGCTTATCTTTTAGTGCTATAATGCCTAAGTCAAGAAGTCTCAGATGGCATAGCATATTCATTAACAGATCTGGAGGAATTTTAATTGCGACAACAAAATTGTATATTCACCCAGTCATTACTCTCCATCTTTTTGTCTATTGAATTTGCTATTTGGTAATAAGAGCCCTTGCTTTATAAACTTTGCCTGAATTTATTACAAAAGAATTGTTTAACCTACCATTGGATTGTTATTTCCTTTCCTCGCTGAATTTGTCGAACCCAAACATGGTATTGCTGGTGGGTCCATTGTTTGTTTGGATTACAAGGATATAGTATGACATGTATCATACTCACTGTTGTCAATTGTAATCATTATTTCGTAACCGTCCTTAACCTTTTGAATAGTGCTTGCTAGAGGAGCAAGCTAAAGTTTTTTCTTGTTGCGTTGGTTGTTTGGATTACAGGGATATAGTTTGACATGTATCTTATTCACTGTGTTTGATTTGTCATGATTATTTCGTAACTGTCCTTAACTATTTGACTAGTGCTTGCTAGAGGAGCACTCTAAAGTTTTTTCATGTTGAGGTGGAAGACTTTTAGAGTGGCCCTGGACGGAAAACGGCTGTATAACCGAGAGTCCTCCCTCTTTGAATCGCTTACGTACTTCCTTCTCTTGAGGTTCTTTCGTCTCTCGCGTCAGTTCATGAGGTAAAAACTACCCTTTTGCTGCTTCTCTTTTTTCTTCTAAATGATTTGATTGTTCTATCTGTCTTCCTTGTTTTCTTTAGATTTCCTTGTTCCTTTTGGTGTAGATTTGTTTCCATTTGATGTGAGTCTTCTTGATTTTATGTGTTGATTTCTTTTTCCGGTGTGATTTTTTATTTTTGATTTTATCTGCGGGAGGGAGGGGAGGGAGGGAGGGAAGGAGAGAGAGAGAGAGAGAGATTTGTTTCCATTTGATGCGAATATTATTGATTTTATATGCTGATTTCTTTTTCTGGCATGATTTTTTATTTTTGATTCTATGTGTGTGTGTGTGAGAGAGAGAGAGAGATGGAGGGAGGCATTGTTCACCCTCCTTTGGGAAGTTGGGGAAGGACTTAGCAGGCTTTAGTGACTTGAGACTCTTCTGTGCAATGAAATACTGTCTTTTTAAGTTACGGGGTGAATTGCATAAGATACCAATCTGGTCAAATGGAGCTCGAAATTGTCAATCTAGCACAATGCTTTCATATCAAGATATTACTGAAGTTAGACATGCCCCTTTATTGGTTGTTGAAGAGCCAGAACAGTTGAAGATTAATGCTCAATCTGGTTTTTAATTTTTCAAACCTGGATATTAGATTTGTCTCCATCTAGTGCCGTTGTACTGCTCCTTAAGCTCACTGTTCTGTAATTGTCATTTTTTTGGGAAAGAGTTTCTGTTTCTTTTCTAGGTTTTTCTGGGTCTTGAACTGTTTTGGATACCAAGACATTCTCTTTCTAAGCATATTAACATTTTGAGAGAAATTGTAAATGCCACCATACAGGAAAAAAGGAAAAGTTACAAAGACTGACTCACCCAATCTTGTGTAGTGTCTTGGAAGCTGCCTTGCTACAAAGAGACCTGTGAGAATAATTCTATTATAAAAGAACAGGGAAATAATCTTTGCCAGATGAGTTAACAAAATGTTACTTAAATAAGTAAATTAGTAGGAGTTGCAATTACAGCTTTCGGCAATAGCTCCTGTATCCCTACTTTCTCTCTTTCTGGAGATAAGTTTTGTTTCTGTTGTGAAGGATCATCAATAATTTCTGTTTTTCCTCAAGTAATTTGAGAAAATGAGGTAGAAAGGACTGACAAATACTCTGTCACTGAGTAATGATTGGACATATGATTGCTTTTGACTTAATACAAAGTCGTAGAGCTTGGTAGAGCAAAATTGGAGTAGAGTCCCCTTATTGATGTGCCATATTAAGCCTTTCTTTTTCTTGCCAAATGAGTCTATAAATGGCTAGAACAGAGTCTGTTGTTTTAAGTGTTCTAGTTGATCAATGTTCATTCATGTAACAAAGCTCTTTCAGAAGTTTGCTTTCTGCGATCCTTATTACTTCTTACACATCACATTTTCTCCATGTTCTCATAAAGGAAATGGTTAGCGAACCTTTTAAGACTAAAAAATTTGAGAATGCATTTTGTTACTTGTAACTAAACTTTGTAATCAATTAAGGGTTCAAATTAATGTAAACATTTTGTTCATGTTTTAATTTCTTTATATGTGCTTAATTTCTCTAGGACTCCTTGTCTTTCTCATTTTCGTCTTGAACTGTTTGTTGCTTTGCTTTATACCTCACCAACAACTTTATTTGAACAAGATGAGCATGTCTTTATGTTCTGAGTTGCCATTTTTCTAATTTATATGATGATATACTTTAACTAAATCTCTCTTGGTCTTGGCTGTATATGTAGGTAAACCATGCTAACAAACTCAACCAGCACATTGGAAGAGATTCAGGCCTAGGACTTTATCGTTTATTACAACTTCTATTCATTGTTCCCAAGAAAGTTCTGTCAATTGGAATTCTACTTCAAGTGGAGTATATACTTCATAAAACCAACATTTTAGGGGCAAGTGGAGTAGTAAGTTGAAAGCCGCTTTTGTCTTGAGATCTTTGCTAATTGGGGAATTTGTGTGTGTCAGGGGTTTACATAAAACCAAGATAATGGCTTCAGATGACTTTTGCTTTAGAGTTCAAGACCATGGCACTGCTCTTACAGAGAAGAAAAACCGAGTTAGGTGCAATCATTGTGGAAAAGAAATCAGCGGGTTTAGTCGCCTTAAATGCCACCTAGCAGGATTCCGGCTTAATGTAGCTTCTTGTTTGCAAGTTCCTCCTAATATTAGGGAAGCATTCTACAATCAAATAGCTGAAAAGAAAAGAGGGAATCTTAGTCAGGAAGTGGGGGAGCATTGTTCCTCTAATATTCCTTCAAGAAGAGATATGTTGCTTCTTACAGATTCTGCTAAGTCTTGCGATCCAGCGCTTACTCGAGCTTCCGGCATGGGAAGCGAAAAAAGGCTGAAGACTGGATCATCTTCAGGAAACCATGGAACAGTGTCAGTTGCTCTTACCAAGGCCAGGCTTGATTCTCAATCAGCTGTGAGTACCCAAGTTTTCTCTGATAGGGAATTCCAGAAGAAGGTTGGTAGATTCTTTTACGAAGCAGGAATTGACCTGGATGCTGTTACATGTCCTAGCTTTCGGATGATGCTGAATGCCCACTTTGGTTCTGAAGATATAGCTTACCCAATTCCTAGCTGTGAGGATTTAAGTGGGTGGATTCTTCGGGAATCAGTGGAAGAGATGGAGCTGTATGTGAGAGAGATTAAAAGCTCGTGGTCAAGCACAGGTTGCAGCATCCTATTGGATGGGTGGGAAGACTTGACAGGTCGCAGACTTGTGAATGTTCTGGTGGCCTGCCCAAAAGGCACAGTTTATCTTCGATCAGCAGACATCTCCGGGTTTGATCAGGAGATTGGTTGCATGTTGGGGTTCCTTGATGATGTTCTCAAGGAAGTTGACGTACAAAATGTAGTACAGATCATCACTTGCTCCACTTCATCTTGGATGAAGACTGTTGGCCAGCAGGTGATGGAAAAATATAAGACAGTTTTTTGGACAGTTTGTGCATTGCATTGTTTAGAACTTACGTTGAAGAAAATGGGAGCAATTGATGCAGTTAAAGCAACACTGGATAAAGCAAAATCAATCACAAGATTTGTGCACAGAGATGCTACTATTCTAAAAGTTCTCAGAGATCACACTTCGGCCAAGTACCTGGTTAGGCCATCCAAGTTCAAGTTAACAGAGCCTTTCTTAACTCTGGAGAACTTGCTATTTTTACAAGAGAAGTTGCAGCAGATGTTTCTTTCGACTGCTTGGAAGACCACGAGATATGCTTCCTCAGTGGAAGGGAAAAGAGTGGCTGAACTGTTGGCTGACAGCTCTTTTTGGACTGGAGTGGAAATGGCAGTTAAGGCGACCATACCTCTTGTGCGTGTCATAGAATTGATAGCCAAGAACAGTGAGCCACAAGTGGGTTTTATCTATGAGACAATGGATCAGGCCAAAGAAACAATCAAGGAGGAGCTCGATGATAAAGAATCCATATACTTGCCATTTTGGAAGGCAATTGATGACATATGGGATGGATCTTTGCACAGCCCTCTCCATGCTGCAGGATACTTTTTGAATCCAAAGTATTTTTATACTAATGATTTCTATGCAGATTCAGAAGTTTTGAATGGCCTTCTGTGCTGTATTGTGCGTTTGGCTGAAGATCCTAGGCTTCAAGGGGTAATAAATTCACAGATTGAAGAATATCGCGGAGCAAAGGGTCCTTTTGGTCTTGGACTTGCTCATCTGCAGTCTTCTCCAGGTAATATCACATGCTACTTTAGCTATTGTGATTTGTATTTGGGACCAAATTCAGTTATTTTTATCTGTAAACTTTGTTGCAGGTAGTTGGTGGTTAGATTATGGACATGGATGTCCTCAGCTCCAACATTTTGCTGTACGCATTTTAAGCCAAACATGTAGTGGTGCTGCAAGATACAATTTGAAGAGGAGCTTGGCTGAGAAGTTACTCAACAAGGGGAGGAATCCGATAGAACAAGAGAGGCTGGCTGCAATGGTGTTTGTGCACTGCAACTTGCAACTCCAAAATTTTAATCAAGGTATAGCATCTGACTTTGGAACTGCTGCCATTGACCCCATGGACGACTGGGTGGTTGACAAAGCACCACCTGTTGTGTCTCAAAACAATGAAGAGGGGAAAGAACTTACATGGAAGGAATTGGAATGTGGGAACATAATAGGTGGTAGAGGGGAAGGTGATCCAGGACCTTCTAATTTCCATTAAAAGCATTAGTCTATATTGTTCTAACTTTTGGGAAGGCTAAGCAAATTGCAGACCATGTAATTTTTCTCAGTACGATTCTATATACTATTGTCGGTTGTGTCTAGTTATATTTTTAGTTCAATTTAGCATCTTCTCTTGAAGACATAGGTGTGAAATTTTTACATGATATGGATTTTTTAAAATTGTACTCCTTAAATAGAATTATACAGGTCCTGTCGAATTCTACCTCGGATGCAAATCTCTGAGTAGTTAGGAAGTATTTGATCTAGAATTTCAATTTTCTTTTTCTGTGTTGTTTTAACTTAACTTTTTCAAGAATCATATTGGGGTATCTCACAGGCGGATTATGGGGTGCATCGTTTCTGGACAAAGCGTGCTGCATCACAAGTGTTGTGTGGCAATGGAAGCCATTTGGCTATTGTTACCACGTTACTTTACCACACTAACTGGCCATTCCGATGTTCTAGTAAGGGCATCTACAGTAGATTACACTTCATATGACACATCAGCATTTCATTATCTTCCCTTTTATTATACTTTCATTCACAATAGATTACATTTCACATGGTATAACCGTATAATAGTATGAGTTCACAATTAAATCAAACATTTATGTTAATAATGCATAACTCATATTTCAAAAATAAAATAAAGTAAAATTTTTAAAAATAATTTCATTATTTAAAAAAAATAAATTATTAACTTTCATTAAATTTTTAATTATTTGGATTTTTTATTTTCTAAAAAATAATAATATTAATTTTTGAGTTTGAACAATAAATCTTTTTCTATCTCTCAAAAAAATAATATTTTGCTATTTTCTGAAAAATAATTATATAATTATTAAACAAATATATGTGATATCTCAAGTGTGAAATATTATATGTAACACCAAATTTATTCGTTACAAAATAAAAGGCCCACTATCTCCTCTTTTTCAGCCACAATGGGTAGCCGTGTAATAAGTCCTTGTCATGGGACATACTATTGGAGTTGCACTTGTAACTCATGTGCTTTGCATGTAAACATACTTCTCAAAATATAAAACCTTTAATAAACTCAATTTCTATGTAAAACTTTGATTGTTGGTATAATATTGACTAAGAAACTATATAATGGACAAGATTAAGTAATTGCTAGACAAATAATTTAATAAACTATGACAAAAGAAGCAGATCTATTTCGTTAACCAAATTGGTTAACAATTTAAAATATACTATAACAAAATATATTTTATTAGAACATAGTTTCAAAATTATAATATTAGTTACAATATTAGTTAATATATTCAATATTATAATTTTAGTAAATAATATTACAACATTAAAATATATCTCAATATTATGATGTTAGTTAATAATATTACCAATTCTTTATTTGGTATATCTCTTAAGTTTTTCTTTTTTGAAAATTCTCTTTTTGTATATAAAGCTATAAAAAGTTTATTGTGCATTCTACAATTACGAAATCTCTAAAGATGGAAAATTATCATATTTAAGCTAAATTATTGGCATAATATTCACAAAGAAACTATATAATGAACAAAATTAAATAATTGCTAGTTGTACAAAATGTTTTATTGTGTACATAGTAATTAAAAGTTTATTGTGTATTTTACAATTACAAAACTCTGAAGATAGAAAATTATCAAATCTCAACAAAGTTATTGCATGTTTTACTTGGATTGCAACAATAAGAAGAGGAAATTTTCTATAATTTGTCAAACCAGTACATACAACAATTTTTGAGAAAAATATATGCTAAAACATTCTCATTTGAATACAACAAATTTTTATCAAATTTAGTAGTTGTAAACCTTTTCTATTAGTACTTTTTATAATTATCAATAGTTTTTTTTTTTTGTAGTTTTCTTAAACGATACAACATAATAGAATGAAGTAATCATCAATTTAACCCTTTGTCTTCTCATTAATTGTGTATTACTTTTTGTCTTCTAATTAATCATGATCTTCTTCTTGGATAACAATGCAATAATTAGAGATAATTTTGAAACACACAATAATTGGAGATGAGGGAAATGATTCATAAACATAGTTGTAAATGGGCAGTTTCTAATTTTAATTACCGACATTTTTGAGATGTAATTTATTGAAACTTTTCATTTTTATTAGTGTCATGATTGAAATGCAATTACTCTAATTAAAAGACATGCAATAACGCTAATTAAAAGATATGAGGGTAATTTAGACATAACAAAAACTAAGATCAAAATATTCGTATATTCTCTATTGCTAAGACTCATCATACATTTTATAGTAATGATGATAGTAATGATAATGATAATGATGTGTAATAGCTTGTGAATTTGGAGGATCTTATTTCTTTTAGTTGGTTTAAAACTAATGGTTGTGAGAGCAAATATGTGCTTTGAGTGAGAATGTACTAGATTATATGGAAAGTAGAATTAGAATACTGGAATCTCTCTTTTAAGTAAGTGAAATCTCAATTGAACTTTTGAGGGTTGTTATCTTTTTTGCCCATTTTTAGGAGGTTGTTTCGATGGTGTTAAAAAATTTTTTGTCTGTTTTTGGGACACGCATTTGATAAGGGAGGAATTTTGCATCTTTACTGCACAAACTAACGCCCTGACAATGTCCAAATTTTCCTCATTAGAAACACAGAATATTAGGACAAGTAATTAGTAGCAGAAAATCTAAATCCAATTTCAAATTAACTGTAGAAGTAATTGCATGAATTCTAAAAGAGGAAGAAATATCCATAGCAGTGACAAGAATCAACTTAAATCTTATGGGTTATGCTTCCCTCCATTAGACCTAAATAAACATGATTATAATATCAAATCTGAAAATCCAAACCATTCATATTATATTTCTCTAATTGCTTAAAGTATGAATTAATGTCCTATACACTGACAGTGTATGCACCACAGCTGGATGCATGACAAATAATCTAAATTTGAATTTTAAATCTAAAGTTTGTATATGTGTCATGCATCTAGTCGTAATAATGTATACACTGTTAGTATATATAAGATTTACTTTTAAAGTACATATAAAAATTGAAATTAAATTGCTTAAATTTTACTGTTGGATCAAACTTTTCAACTTTCATCAATAATTTTGACCCATTTTGCACCATCAATGTTTGTGCAAATTAAATGACAAAATAATCATAGATGAGCTTGATTTTTGAGTATATTAAGCAACTCGTAGAAATAAAATTATTGACGCAAGTAGATCATTGTGAAAAAATTTAGTTGTATAAATAGATAAATGAAGAGAAAAGTAATGGAGAGGATAGCATCCCATATCTTTTAAGCCAGGACAACAACCATTTTGTAGAAACCTCCCCACTGCAAGGAATCCTGAAAATTGAGGGGTAACAAGGTATTAGGTGAGCGGCGCAAATAATCAAAATTATGCGTTTTAGATCCAAGTTCCAGAAAGTGCACGAGGTGCTAGTTGAGACATATTTTTAAAAAATTTAGACAGTTCAAATACAAGAGCCATAGCACATTTATCAAAAATTATATATTTTCTTAAAATTTTTGAAAATTGAAACTAACACGATTCACATGCAAATTCAAATAATATACAATAGTCCATGAGTTATGTGAAATTAATGGCTCAAACTTACAAAATTTTTGTCATGTATTAGAAGATCTAAAATTTCACCAAATATCTGTTTCCAATTTTCAAATAGTGGGCAATTATAATAAAAAAAATACGTTTGCAAAGCACTTGAATTTCAAAAATATTTTCAAAAGGAGTACTCACCTTGGATTTTTGGATTTAATTTACACAATTACAAAATTAGTTGGGCTTTCAATCACTTGAATTAGTGAGATGGTATGAAAAATTTTAAGTCACTAGATCTACATAAATCGAGTCTACCCAGACATTTGCTTTAATAGTAATTTCTACCGCCTTCAATATATTACTTAAAATAATGAGAAATTTTGTAACTCCCTTCATTTAGGCCCCCCCCTCCCCACCCACAATTTAAACTCTAGCACTTAGTGCATCGGTTACAAAACCGAAGTTGATTCTTTACAAATTCCTTGTGTGCAATTTCATCCAACTAATAGAAATTAGATTGGTTATTCGCTCTTATCATTTCCTCCTTGTAATAGTTTAATTCTCTTAACACCATCAAAGCCTTTCATCTTAAAAATTGATTTGGTTAAAACAAAAATGGTCATTCCCCCAATGAATTGCTGCACTAATTAATTGATTCCACTGACATCATACTCAAATCCCTCATGTCAATCTATGTAATCGTAGTTAATTTTGGGCTTATCATAATACCTCAAAGTTTTCTCTCTTTTTTTTGCTCGTTTTCTCATTACTAATAGCCATTTATTCGTAATTAACTCAAGAATAATAATTGTAAACTCATCCTTCATTAAAATTCATGCTAATCACTTATACCTATTCTTTGTGACAGTATCGAGCCAGGCAGCTAAAACAGGAAATAAAACTACCAAAATCAGTGGAACAATAAATGGAGTTTAATGAACCGGTAATTGAGCTCAATAATCCAATATTTCATTCAAGGGATAATTGCAGAAACCTCCCCTGAGGTTTCTGACATTTGCACTGATCTCCCCTGTGGTTTGGAAAATTACACTGACCTCCCCTGAGGTTACTAATCCTTTGCAAATTTAGTCCAAACGATTAAAATATTGTTTTAGGGAATGAAATTAGAATTTTGTACCAGATTTGCCCTTTGTGTTACATGTCCAATGAATGACAAAGTATTATAAATCAATTAACAATTAATAAACTTTAAGAAGTATAATTTATGGGCAAACATGCATTACTCATTTAAAATACCGGCTCTTTACGGGTATTTTACTTTCAAACATTTAATTTATGATAAATATATCAATATTTGTAAGTAAAACTCAAAAACTATTACAATAATGTTCTTGCAAAAAGGAAATCGGTAGGTTATTTATTTAATATAAATTAAATATTTTTTTAAAAAAAGAAATGGCCCATAAAGTATTAATTCTTTATGATTTTCATCCATTACATAAGTAAAGTATTTGCTCTTTATGTACATTTTATTTTGAATCATTTAATTTATGTTAAATACATAAATGTTTGTAACTAAAATTGAAAA